ATTGGATTAGTATTTGAACCAGCCCCTACACATATATATATATATATATATACAGAAATATATGCATACATATATTTTCATATACACAACTATTTCGAATTCATATCGGCAAAAGAGGAAGGAAGGAGAGGAGGTCGCGAACGGCAGCAGGGGAAGGAAGGAGAAGATTTCGGCGGCAGGGGGCTATATGTAATATTTTGCATATATATAAAATCAAAAGTATGAAAAACGAAAAAAAAAAACAAAAATCCGACAGAAAGTTGTCTGGCGCAATCCGCCGGTAACTTATTGTAATTACACCGTCGGATTTTTTCACCTGAAATACCCAGTTTTCTAGTAGTTCCATTTCCTGTATTTTCAAGTGGATTCTTTTTCTTTTGTGATGTAGGAATGATACTTTTATCTGGAATCCTTCGATAATTGTTATTTAAGCTAATATTCCGAAGTGATGATGAAAGTTGAAACCTAGAATAGACAGAAGAAAACTTCCAAAACAAATTAAGAAACAAGGTTTAAATTTATTTGTTTTAACTAATGAGATTCCATTTATGCACCATTCAAAATCTAAATTTTAATTTTAATTTATAGCTTCATAATTGCTATTTATGTTGTCTATCAGTAACAGTCAACTATTTAGCAAGAATAAGAGATAGGTGGGTATATTACTTTCACTTGTACCATGTTTCGTCGTCAATTCCATATGCTTAGTGAGTTCATTGTTTGCAATTAGTAAGGAACATACGATACCTATGGAAGATCAATGATTCACAAGACATCCAAGATGGAATTTCACCTCCTTGGTGTGGTTAGAGATATTGTATCATAACTTGTTTCTTATACTCTACCATTTTTTTCCCTCCTACATTATGTTTCAACCATTTTCTTTTGAGTACACTGTTGAACATACCATCTATAGGTGATAGGTGAAACTGCATTTTAAGTTGTGAATTGGATCTGAACTTCATGTTGCATGTTTATACAAAGCTATAACCTGAAAATTGTCAAAAATTTGTCTATAGGTGAAAAGAAAAATCTTTTGAGTTTCACTTTGTTTGAGTGACTTTACATGTATTTGAAGAAGCAAGTTGGCATGGTCTGAATGTTTCCATATGTGGATTATTCGAAGTGAAACCACAATAATTATATTTGTAATTATTTCATTTAAAAGATTCAATCCGTAATTATTTCATTTAAAACCTTACTAATTTATTAATAACGTAAAATGTTTTTATTATTATTTTAGATTGTTAATAAATTATTAAGTTTTAAAATTTATACTCTTTTGTTTCTTAATAAATATTAATTGAAATTAATAATCTTTATCTTAGTCTACAAATATACACAAAAATAATAATAAATAACTCAAAATCAAGCAATTTTTCTCGTTTATAGGTGCATTATGTAGATTTTTTTATGTTTTTATGGGTCGGAAAATTTTATATATAGAAACTTCTCTATTCCATAAGATAGGGATAGAGTTGATTTTTGCATCTTTAAGATGGATTAAATTCTTTTTAAAAAACCGTATCGCGATGATAATATTCATGGATTTTGACTTTTGATTCTTTATTTTAATTTTAAATAAAATTATAAAGAGTCTTAACAAAATATTTTTCTTAAATATATTTTAGATATTTAATCCATTTTCAATAAGTTTTATTAAATTAAATATGATTAAAAAAATATATTAAGACCAAGTTCAATTAATTACTGTATATGTACTTATCTAGTTAAAAAGAGTCCATGAATTTCAACAGTGGACAGCAGCTGCTACACATTGAAGTTTAAAATTGTAGTCAATAAAGGCTTGCCCCCATTCACTTCACGTCTGTTTCACTTCACTGTCATACTATTATTGATACTACTACCTGCTGCTATATATATATATATATAAACGAGCTTATGATGGAAATTAAGTCAGTCAGCCATCGTCAATCAGCAATGGTACTCACTACTTCCATTGTTGTTGCCAGCATCCTCTTCATCCTTTTCAAGCTTGCAACTCGTCCCAAATCCAACAAAAACCTCCTTCCAGAGCCATGGAGACTCCCCATCATCGGTCACATGCATCATTTGATTGGTACCTAATCTTTATTTCAGTCTCTCTCTCTCTCCCCCCCCTCTCTCTCTCTCTATATATATATATATATATACACACATATACATAGAAGTAATTTTGTGCAAGTATATGTACATAACATGTAAACGTACATAGAAACCCAACCAAGAAACTCTATGATTCCTTGTATACATATGTGCATACGGTAGATGAATGATTATTAGAATGATCCCATTTTTGGTTTTTCCATTAAAACTCACTCAGTCACTCTACGTATACATGGGGTTGGGTTCCTGTAAGAAATGCCATTTTTTCGTTAAAAGTGTAAGAAATGTAAGATTCACGTATGTGAAGGTACCCCCTTCTATTGTATGGAGGTGATGCCTTCATAAAAAACCGGTGAAGGTATACATTTAGGTCACGTTGCCTTATCACCTTCACGAAAGTATAATGTAACATTTACATAATATAGAATACATTCACGGAATCTCATTAATTTTCAACATTGTTACATATAATAATTATATATAGGGCCATTTATGTTTAAAAATTAAGGTAAATTTATGGAGTTTATCAATTATCTTTATGAAAGTTTCACAAGTCATTCATATTAATGATCCTTCTGAGTTTCTATCCATTCCTTTGCAATAAATATTATATATATATATATATATATATGAGCCATTAATCTCAGGGCAACCATTTGCTTTGTGTCTCAAAAGGGATTTTTATTCTATTTTGGATTTGAATCTAAGACCTCAAGGAACTTTTGACCTTTGGAGTCCAAGCTGAAACCAATAAAACACTACAGTTATCGTTAATTCCATCAAATATAGTTGTATATACAGGAGGTTGGATCATCGAGTATGTGGGTGTGATGATGGTTAAAAGAACATATGTTTGTTGATGAACAGGTACAATGCCACATCGTGGTGTTATGGACTTATCTAGAAAGTATGGATCTTTGATGCATTTACAGCTTGGTGAGGTTTCAACCATCGTGGTATCGTCTCCGAAATGGGCAAAAGAGATCTTAACGACCTATGATATTACGTTTGCAAACAGGCCCGAGACATTGACAGGCGAGATTATTGCATATCATAACACAGATATCGTTCTTGCACCATACGGTGAATACTGGCGGCAATTGCGAAAGCTTTGCACTTTGGAGCTTTTAAGTGTCAAGAAAGTGAAGTCGTTTCAATCGCTTCGAGAAGAAGAGTGCTGGAATTTGGTTCAAGAAGTTAAAGCATCGGGATCAGGGAGACCAGTCGATCTTTCTGAGAACATTTTCAAGATGATTGCTACAATATTGAGTCGAGCTGCATTTGGGAAAGGAATCAAGGATCAAAAAGAGTTCACGGAGATTGTGAAAGAGATCTTGAGGCAGACGGGAGGTTTCGATGTGGCTGATATTTTTCCTTCGAAAAAGTTTCTTCATCATCTTTCGGGCAAGAGGGCTAGGTTAACCAGCATACACAAGAAGCTCGATAATTTGATCAACAACATCGTTGCCGAACACCCCGGGAACACCTCGAGTAAATCGAACGAGACCCTGCTCGATGTGCTGCTAAGGCTCAAAGATAGCCCTGAGTTCCCATTGACAGCCGATAACGTGAAAGCTGTCATCTTGGTAAGCATTCGATATTACAACAAAATCGACTTTAATTTATAGAATGCTAAAGACGCCTAAATATCTTAATAGACCGTTTTATAGGAACTTAAGTTTATACGATCATATAAGCGTGCGTCATATAATATGATGCTTTTGAGAAGGGTAGTATGAACACATCGTATCATATGACACTTATAGAAGTCTTTATTTCAAAATTGTCCTAAATAACTTGTTAAACGTTTATATTATCTTATTGTGATACACAATTATTTGAAAACGTGTCCTATTAAATGGTCTATTAGGACACAGGCATAATAACGTCCCGTAACGCAGTTTTCTTTGTAATGCATCGACTTTGATATTGTAAAAATTGATAATAACCTAGTGTTATAATCAAACCGATGCAGGATATGTTCGGAGCAGGCACAGACACTTCATCGGCCACAGTCGAATGGGCGATTTCCGAACTGATAAGGTGTCCGAGAGCAATGGAGAAAGTACAAGCCGAACTAAGACAAGCACTCAAAGGAAAAGACAAGATCAAAGAGGAAGATATTCAAGATCTCAGCTATTTAGACCTAGTGATCAAAGAAACATTAAGGTTGCACCCTCCTCTACCCTTGGTTATGCCAAGAGAATGCCGACAGCCCGTAAATTTGGCTGGATACAATATTGCCGACAAGACCAAGCTTATTGTGAATGTCTTCGCCATCAATAGAGACCCTGAATACTGGAAAGACGCTGAAAGTTTCATCCCAGAAAGGTTCGAAAACAGCCCTACAAACGTCATGGGAGCCGAATATGAGTATCTGCCATTTGGGGCGGGAAGAAGAATGTGTCCAGGAGCCGCGCTGGGTTTAGCCAACGTGCTGCTCCCGCTGGCTACCATTCTTTATCACTTCAACTGGAAACTCCCAAATGGTGCTAGCCATGAGCAACTAGACATGACTGAGAGCTTTGGAGCCACTGTTCAGAGGAAGACTCATTTGGTACTGGTACCAAGTTTTTAAAGCCAAAACTAATGAATCAGTCTTGAAATAATTTCGTTTTGTATGTTATGGATCAGAGATTTGAAGGTCCATTATTTAATTTGCTTTTCAAGTGCTCAGTTATTGTAACAATCTACATCTTATATTATGAAATAAAATTTTTGGTTTGCGTTCAAGAAAAGAGAGTAAATTATGAAAATACACAAAAGGTTATCTTGTTTCAACTTTGATTCGGTTTTCAAAAACCACAAGGGTGGTGCCTGATTGGTTTGAGTTTGGGCTCCAAAGGTTAAAAGTGTCTGGAGTTCAAATCCAAGGACGAACAAAAATCCCCTTGTAACCACAGAGGTTCAAATACGGTGAATCCATGACCAATGTGCCTCTTCTTCTTCAACCAAATTCTCTTTCACTCATTCTTGTTTCTTATCTCAACAGTGGTGATATGCAAGTATGTCTCTCCTCCCATTGCTAGACTTTATTCTATAGGAAACTCAGTGAGGATATGAATTAACATGGCTATGTCACAACTTACATAAGTGAGGTTCAAATGGCCTTGGCTCAATAAAAAATATGAAGCCTTTCTTAGAGCGTGGAAGCAAATAATAGCAGGTAGTGTTTTGTATACTTACACTCTGCATCTGATTTAATTCAGCATTCTCTGTTCCCATTTGAATCACTGGCATCACATGTAGCCTAGGATTGTTGCTTCTTTTTTTGTTTGCACTCTTTTTAGATCAATGGTTTCTGTAAATGTAGTTATATATTCCCCAGATAGCGTTTGGTTTCCTTTTTATATCCATCCTCATTAACATAGGTGCCATTTGTCGCATTGTACAGATTTTGTTGAAGCAACTGAACACAACATACCCCTGTGTGCACATGCATACCCCTATGCCTGCAGTATATCGGTTGGCCCAGTTTGCAGCTTCACAAGGCAATGAAGCTGTAGAAAGGTAGTCATTTCCTCTTGGTAAATTATATAATTATTTTTATTAAATAGAACATTTATAAATGTGAATTACTATATACAACTTAGGCTTTTGCACTTTATATGTAAGTTACGTTTAACGAACTCTTTTGCATATCTTCATCGTTTTATAAATCACTAAGATTTATATATATATGATTTTTATGTCCATAGGAGAACATGGTAGAGATTAAGCGGCAAACTGGATCAACAGAAAATCCTCCAGGTGATCTAGAGATTATGCAACAAGTCTTAGGTAAAACACCTGCATATATTTGGGGATGGTCTAGGGTCCCGAGCACTAGGAGCTTTCTACTAGTTCTCGACATAGCACCGGTGCGTCAGGTCAATTGAGCCACACTGAGATGTCTAATCGACTTGCTTCAACAGAGTCCAAGCTTGCTTCAACCAAATCCGAGCTCTTTCTTATGAAGGGTGAAGTTGCTGAGTTGCGACATTTGGTGAGGTCAATTGTATCCGGCCGGTCATTTCCAAGTTTTCATCTTCATTAACTGTTCAAGACCAATGTTCGGAGACTCAAGATCGTTAACATGCTATGATGATTTTGGATGTTTTTTTGTTGATAAATTTAGACGATATATGAATTAGTTGAATATTAAATTTGGATGGTTCTTATATATATTAAATTGCTTTGAGATTATTATTAATTTGTTCTTGATTAATTTAATATTATTTATTAGTTTAATTTTATTATAATA